ATTGGCTCATGCCTAGAATCTGTACATTTGTCATGTTATAAAAACAAGGGATAGACCACATATAAAACCTTAGCCAGTGCCCCAAAAAAACCCCATAACAGTCCCAATTTTTTTTCCAATTTTCCTTTTTCTTTTCTCTTCAAATTTAATTTTCAAAGAAAAAAAAAAAGAGTAAAGATTCTTATTGAAGCTTTGGAAATTGCAATTAGGGTGTCATTTTCTTTACAGGGCTAGCTGCATGAATTTTCAAGTTTGCAACACAATCTGAGAAGAAGACAAAGAGAAAATGTGCATCAAGACAAACAGTCTATGTTAGAAAAAAAAATACAAGAAAAAAAAACACAATTTTGTTCACAATAAGCTGCTCCAAAATGGAATCTAAGGCCTCACCAATCATTTGTGCTTTTGTTTTCTTCCTGTTTTTTATGACATCCTCTGTTTGTCCTGTCCAATCCGAGGTTATCAACACTACCAAACAGATTTTGAGGCCTGTGAATGAGTCCAGGAAGCTGGACTACATCAGAGTCCATTTGGATAAAATCAATAAGCCTCCTGTTAAGACAATTCAGGTAATTTTTGTCTTTTTTTTGAATTAACATCAACTTTTGTCAATATATAATTATATTTTTTCTTTTTAAATCAAATATTAATACTCGTGCAGAGTCTTGACGGTGATATCATAGACTGTATATTGTCACACGAACAACCAGCTTTTGATCATCCGTCGTTAAAAGGGCAAAAGCCAATGGTAAATTAATTAAAATCAGAAAAATTCCTTATTTTAGTCATTTTGTTAATTAATTTGCTAGCTAGCTAGTAGTTAAAGTAACTTAACTATTTTTATTTTTTATTTTTGTCAATGCATATGTTCTTGAATTAAAGGATCCACCTATAAGACCAAAAGGTCACCCATCAAAACCCGACATTTTCGGCGAAAATTTCCAACAATGGAGCTCGACTGGCGAAATTTGTCCGGAAAACACGATTCCAATCCGAAGAACAACCGAACAAGATATGTTACGAGCAAAATCCATCCGAAGATTCGGACGAAGAATTAAGAAAATAATCAGAAGAGATTCTACTAGCAATGGTCACGAGGTCAGTATTAACTATTAAGACAATCATACTTTTTCCGTATATGTCAAAAAAAACAATATAAACGAAAGTGTAATTACAGTTTTATAGTATCAGTATGTATTTTTCATTAAAAAAAATATATAATGGGTCAACCCGTTTAACAGTTAGCCGAATTTTTACAGCATGCTGTAGGGTATGTGAGTGGAGATGAATACTATGGAGCTAAAGCAAGCATAAATGTGTGGGCCCCACAGGTTGCGAGCCAATACGAGTTCAGTTTATCACAAATTTGGGTAATTGCAGGCTCATTTGGGGTTGACCTAAACACAATTGAAGCTGGTTGGCAGGCACGTTACACAATTTTATTTTTATTTTTAATTTCCTTTTTTAACATAATATAATTTTACTTATTATTAGAAAAAAAAAATTGTGAGTAGAGAATGTATCTAGTAATTTTATATGTGCAAGGAGTAAACTCTTGTGTTAGGTAGTGTAATAATTTAATGTTTATAGGTGACGAAAAGAAGGAATGTGATTTATATCTTGTGATATTATAGAAGTTTTTATATTAGAATTTTGATTTTGTTTGAGTTTGGTAAGGGTCAAAATTAGCTTATAGCTTACAAAAGTTTGTATTTTAGTTATATCTAGCTCACAAGTCATATTGTTCATAAGCTTTCAGCTAACCTTTTAAGTAGAATTGTAAGTTTAACCTTAGAATACTATAGATTAAATATGAAATTTGTTATGAATCTGTATATTGATTTGAAATTTATTTGTGAATTTTGTTGGTAATTGTCACTGCCAATTCAATTCAATTGAATACTCAATCATGTACATTGTTTTTAGGTGAAATTTTCCATTAGTAATCCAGACAATGAAACTTATCTTTTCTAACATCATTAAAGCAGCAATTACATCTTCAACTACCTCATGCTGTAGCAAATTAAATGGACTCTAATTATGAATAAATTTAATTTTTTTTTTGTCAACAGGTTAGCCCAGAGCTTTATGGCGACAACCGTCCCAGATTTTTCACTTACTGGACAGTAAGTTGAGTTCCCTAATTTTTTTCATTTTTTCTTAATTTTAAATGATTTTTCTAATTATAAACTGCTAGCTAGTAATTATGGTCTAAAAGCCTAAAATTGCTGTCAATATTGTTGCTGTTAAACAGCCTAATAAACAGACAATCATATTTTTTCAACATATATACATATTTTTAAATTAAAATGTCATACTTAATTAAAATAATGACATTAATATTTAATATCATAAACAAGAAGTAATTTGTGAATTGCTATAGTCAAAGGATATTGCAACCAAACCCCTGTTTTGTAGGGAAATGGAATTTATGGCTAATTAATTATTCTTTGGCTTGAGCAATTATTAATGATTTAATGTAATTAATATTTGCGTGTAGAGTGATGCATATCAGACAACAGGCTGTTACAATTTGCTGTGCTCAGGCTTTATTCAAACCAACAATAGAATAGCAATTGGAGCTGCAATTTCACCAACCTCATCCTACAATGGCGGTCAATTTGATATTAGTTTATTGATATGGAAGGTAATGATTTTTATCCCTTNATTTTCATTGTTACTATAAGCAAATTTGCAAACTAGTCGAGCTCAAACTTATTATTATATTCAAATTTCGGGCTTGAGCCATTATCAAAGTTTGAGTTTGACATTTATTAAAACTAATCAATTGAATTCGAGTTCAAACTAAACCAAGTGTTCAAGAAATTACATAATATAACCCTATTTCTCGAGCAAACTAAACAAGCTCTACTCGTTTAATAAATAGAGTTAGTCAAGTCCCAAAGTTGTTTTATAAATAAACATATGCACAAAATTTTATATTTTTCTTTAAATAGCAACAATTTAATTATATAGTATTTTTTTCCTTTTACTTCTTTTCGTTTCTTTTTTTATATGGAAGAATCATCATATTGTTAGTTCCCTTTTTGCTTTCTAAGATTCCTCCACGCTTCCTCCCCAAGCAAAGGTGTTTCTTATTATTGGATTACATATCTTTATTCATTAATCATGTTTTTTACTAAAATTATTGCCATTCAGTGTAATAAGTCAAATTTGGTTAGCTATATTGAAATTGTTTGTGAACATAGTTCGATTTCTACTTGTGAAAGCTCGAGCTGAGTCGAGTTCGGACAGCTAATCCAACTCATTCATTCAACGAGTCGGGTCAAACTTGTTAGCGAACAATTCATTTTTTTAAAAAAAGAGCTGAACTTTTTTCAAGAATATACATTTCACATTCGCAAACAAATTGTTTAAGATTTTGGATTTATTAAACTAATCAAGTTGAGTCTTTTAGCTTGTTTTTTAAGCAAGCTGAATAAAACTGACTCGTTTATTCAATGAACACACAAGCAAACGTGAGTTACTAGACTCGACTCAAATAACACTTTAAAGTGTAACCATTTTGAGTGGGCATATAAGTATTTTCATTAATCTATACTTATATAATAAGGTGTACCATTTACAAAATTTAGTAAGTTGAAAAGTCAATGCAATAAATGCATTACTATTTTGAACAACATAATATAATATCATATCTATCTATACTTATATAAAAGGAGATTCTATTTACTACATTTACTATCCAGAAAAGTCGACTGCATTAAATACCATTACTATTTTGGTATTATAATATTTTATTTATTTAATTGATTTATTTATTTGTTTTATTTTAAAAAGGTAAGTATAATAAAAAGATTTTAATAATAAAAAAAATAAATACCAAATAAAAATATACACTTTGACTTATTTGATTATATTTGGTATTTGATTATACCAAATATATTCCTATTTAGTATATACATTAAATACTTACTAAAGTATTTATTTGTTTTATTTGTCAAAGTTAAGTATAGATGTGTTTATATTATCAAATCATAAAAAAATATTAAATCCATATTGTTAAAAAAAATCATATAATTTTATAACAATTCAACTACACTATTTAACAATATTCATTTTTTATTATATTAATAATAATTAAATATTATATGGTTGACAACAATAAGTAAAACTGTTACTTTACTTTATATCAAGGGATAAATTTATATGCTAAAATTAAATTTTTATTAGTATAAATATTTTAATGAGATAATATATTAATTATTTTACAAGCTAGCCCTAACATGCTCATATTTAATGTTTTAAAAGATGTAGAAAAAAACTTATAATAACTATATTGTTTTTTAGACTTAAACGTTGATTAAAAGAGGTAAAAATTCTTAATTTTTTAGACTTAAACGTTGATTAACACCATAGATTGAGAGTCTATATTTAGTAAAATTCCTAATTGTAATAAAAAAAATAATTTTTGCTATATTTTAGAATATCTTTAAAATTATTATAAAAAAAAGAAAAAAAAACTACAATGAAAAAAGCAAGTCAGCTATATATCGATTTGTTGTACTCCTCAAATCACATTCACAATTTGGCTACAAAGAAAGGAAACTCATTGATTAAAATATTATTTTGTCAGTAGTCTTAATGTACAAGAGACTTTAAGACTCCACTTGAATATTGTAAAACTTTTATTGAACATTATACAATTTTCTTGCGTATTATAAACTCTTATTGAATATTGCATCTTATAATATAATATTCTCCGAATAAATATACCCCGTGCTTCGCACGGGTCACGTACTATATATATCCCGTACATTTTTCTTTATTCATGTATATAATTATAATTTTGATAAATAGCCTTAAAATTGTGCACCCCGTGCATCGCACGGGCTCTGTACTAGTTCAAAAGTTATACCCTCAATTAAATTTAATAATTATGTTTTTGTGTTTGAATGGTTTTATTGTAGGACCCAAAGCATGGGAATTGGTGGCTAGAATTTGGCAACGGGGTTTTGGTTGGCTATTGGCCGTCGATTTTATTCACACATCTCAAGCAACGTGCGAGCATGGTCCAATTTGGGGGCGAAACTGTAAATAGCGGAAATTCGGGGTCCCACACGTCAACCCAAATGGGCAGCGGACATTTTGCAGAAGAGGGGTTCGGAAAAGCCTCATATTTCAGAAATCTACAAGTGGTCGATTGGGACAATAATCTAATACCCATATCAAATCTTCATGTTTTGGCCGACCATCCAAATTGTTATGATGTAAGGGGTGGGATTAATAGAGTTTGGGGTAATTATTTCTATTATGGAGGACCTGGGAGAAATTCGAGGTGCCCTTAAAGAGATATATATAGTGCGTTTGTAGGGATTTTTTACTGTAATATTTTTTTTTTCTTTTTCATGGCGTGAATTTTACGACATAATTAATTGTACAACGTTTAGAGGCAGTGTAAATTGTCAAATGGAAATAGTAAACACACTATGTTTATTTCATGTTTTTATAAATATTACCATTTTTTTTTTTTGAATTTTACATCTTTTCGTGAGTCAGATACTTGATTTCGCCTATTTTTGTTCTTTTTCTTTTTGGTATCCTATATTCTTGATCATAGGTTTTTATTTGTAACTTGTATTGGATAAATTCGATTCTACCTTGTGTGCTTGCATGGGATTTTATATGTCAGATCGTGTATATCTGCATACACACCTGTCGTGCTGTAATCGAATTAAACGAGTCCAGCTTAAGCATTTGGAGCTCGTTTTAATTTGTTAAAGTTCGAACATTGTTCGTGTTCGTTCGCTGATTTTTCGAGCAAAAAATCGTGTTCAACTTGTTCGTTTATTGTTTATTAAAGTTCGAGTTCGCTCGTATTTGAATAACTTAAGACACAAACTTTCAAATATGTTTGATTAACTCGAAATATGTTTCTCTTTTGAACTCGAAAATAAAAAAAGTGAAATAAAAATATTTCTATATTTTGGTTTTTTAATTAAAATTATCATGTAAATATATAAAAAAATAAAATAAAGTTATAACATATTAATATTCGCAAACATTATCGAACATTCACGAACAAGAGTTTGTGTTCGTTCGATTCTTAAACAAGCCTAATTTTTAATTCAAATTCGACTCGATTAACAAACGAATTAACTCTTGTCGAACACAAACGAGACCACAAGAGTTTTTCTTTGCGAATATTTGGCATTAACAACCCTACGAGTGACAGTTGTATGGGTATACATTGATTTAACTGTTAAAAATTTGGTATGATTCCAATAAGAGGATGAAGTCGGGTTGCTTAAGTTCTTCATTAATTTACATTACAGTTTTAAAGCCCAAGCCCAGCCCAAGGTGAGAAACTATTGTACTTAACCCTGGCCGAGTCCAATAAAAGCAATACTTCTGGGCTTATGGAATATGAGCTTGGGCCAACCCTACGAGCTTAGGCCTTTAAATTAGTCAAGTTGAGTTGGAACTTTTCAGCTTGCTAAGTAGGTGAGTCAAAAATCAAGCTAAAACTTGACTTGTTTATCAATATTAATAAGTCGAATGTAAGCCTTAACAAGTCCATCTCAAACTTTAACGTGTCTATTATAGAAAATTTATATATAAAAAAAAAAAAATCGAGCCTTATTGAGGGATGGATTAGTCAACGCTAAGTTGATGATCAACACACAAATAGAGAAAATAAAAATAAACAAATAGATAAACAAATCACAAATTTAAGCTGTGAATCATGAAACATAACCGCATCAAAAAGGCCAGTGATAGTCTAACCTAATCTAGCTAACGTGATATGTTGCATGTGCTTCTCTATAAAATAATCTGCGTGATTTCCCAAGCAATATCTTTATATATTAATCTATATATATGTCATCGGCTTTTAATATGATATTTATTAGCCAATAAGGGCAACCACTATAAACCTGCAAGATTGCTATTTGCATAAACAATTAAATTAATGACTGGGAAAGCAACTTATAAACAAAAAAAAAAAAAATTGTCATACGCCAAAATGAGAAAACAAATTAAATTCAGCGTTAACAAAATGAGTAGCTCGTAGGTACGATTTTGTTCAGCTCGTTTAATAAATAAGTCGAAATCGAGCTTTTTTAAAGTTCGTTCAGTTAACAAGTCAAATTCGATTCGGTTCAGTTCGGATAATTGAAAATTTATGTAATTTTTTTTAACTCAACTCATTAAAATTTTAATTCTGCTACGTTAAACTTTAAATAAGACTCATTAATATTGATAAATAAAGTAAACTTAAATCGAGTTTAACTCAAGTAAATTATCAAATGATACACACATACCAATTACCAATATTTACACAAATTTATAAATTTCATTTTGAGGTTGAAAGCTAAAAATGTGGATAAGTGGGGGATAGAGAATGGGGACAGTTGGGAAGTTGGTTTGAAATTTGAACACAGAACCTTCCAGCTCTCCTCCAGCACATATTCTTTTAGAAACGCCTAGAATCTTTTCTCTTTTTCCTTTTGTCTTTGAGAAGAAAAAATTAAAATAATACTTCTATCAATTAAAATATTAAAATACTATTTCCTTTCATTATCCTCCATTTTGGGGATTGAACATTACTGTTAGTTTCAAATTCAATATAATAGAGTTGATAGCTAGAGTTGTAAATAAATTAGAGAAAAAAGTTTGGTGTTACACGAACTCTTAATATTCAAGCTTCTTGATTTATTAATAAATAAATGAGTTTTAAGTAATTTTAGTTTAAGTCTTAATGAGTTGACTCAAATCGAGTCCATTTAACAAATAGCTAATATATTATAGAATACATGGCTATTTTATTATATTAACTGATTTAATTGGTAGTTAAAATTTTTGTAACAGTTTATAAATAAGTGTTTCAGAAGATTACTAATATTATCAAATTACAGTGTTCTTTATATTTATATAACCCGGTCATTTCCCCTACAAGAGATAATAAGAGGTATCAAAATCAAATGATTCTACTCTAGTAGCCTAAGAAAATTGGTTATTTTTTATTTTTTAAACCTTATATAGTTTTTCACAAAAATATACATATGTGCTATAAAATTTCATATTTTATTTATTTTTCTTTTTTAAAATATGATATTTTAAATTAAAAAAATATATAGTTTTGTTGGAAAAGTATGATATAACTGTTAAAGGTCCCACTTTTGTCTATTCTTTCATTTTATTTGGGAATTTCATGAATGGGTGAAAGGTAAACCATGAGAAAATTGTAGGAGACTCCATTTTCAAAGCCTGAGAGAGGAATAAAAAAAAATCCATTATTTTTTTCCCCATTAAATAAGAATTCGATTCAGCTGAAAGTCACTCAGATTTCAATCGCTGACAAGTTATTTCCTTTTTCCTTCTTTCATTTTTCAAAACAGGAACCTTAGTTCTCATATTTTCACACGCTTAAAGATTGGATTTTTATTTCATTGTTTGATGAGCCGGAGCCTTCTTTTGACTAAAAAAGAAGGCTCTGAATCAAACACCATTCCTACATAATCTCGTTTTTAGGGTTGTAATTGGACAAAATCGATTCTTTTCTCCATTATTACTATTGAATCTGGATAATTTTAGGT